GAGTACTTACTTGATTCAACTGGAGGCGATCATAGGAGGCAGAATTTGGAGGGAGCCATCGAGCCCTCTGCGGTTGGGCAGACTTGGAGGCAAGGAGTGTTCCGGATTTCTTCATCAATCGTATGTTCGGCGTGTGCGGCCGCTAACTGGCTCAAAGAGTGGCTGTGCTTTCAATTCCCACGGTTGAGTTTCTATTTGATCAGCAGTATGTGGCCGCTTCACGTCACAGCGCCGGCGCTTAAAGCTCGACCGCTTGCTTAGCTGACAGCGAAGGGCGCAGAGTCTTCCGTCAATGACCAGCATAAATATCCCAAGAATCATCGCGCTGTTTGTCTTCTCCGATCCGGAAGGTTGCTTGGCGATAGTTCGGCTACCAAGGCAAGCCAGATGCCAACACATTGAGGGCTGGTGAAGGACATGTTCCTCCATTGGCCTGATGGTCTAGTAGTAGGATTCCTTGTTAAGGTTTTTCACTGTTTCGTGAATGGCGTTCAACTGAGGAGCCGGCGGGCAAGCGGACCGGCTGGTCTGGCTGTCCAGCGGAAGAGGTGGTGTGTAGTACCCAACAGAGTACCAGGGTGCAGAGTGCCAACGGGGGACGGAAGCTGAGTCAGAACCGGAGTCAGGTCGGAGCTGGAGCTGGAGTCGGAAGTGGATTGGGGCACGGTGAGGACGAACCATGGGAGTGGTGTTGTCTACAGGGATGCAGCATAGTGGGGACATACAATGCGGGTGCTAGAGACGGCCCGAGGTATGTCCCTTCCGAGCACGTACCATACCTGTGTGTGTGGAGCTCTGGCCTTGGGGCTTATGTGAAGCGGTAGATGGGAGGAAGCCAGAGAGTGTATGGTATGCGAGTCGGAACCGGAGCCGGCGGGTGGCGGACCAGCTGGTGCGGGTGGGTCCAGCGGAGCTTCTCCTGACAGTTGGGTCCGTCAGTAGTGTTGCATGTTACCTCAGTCAACTAGTTTTCATAGTGGAATAGAGCTGATCATGCAGGTTTTGTGTAAATCACGCAAAACCACATCCAGCATCTCGAGGCTACGGACGGGACCCTCTCACCTGAACGCTCATCGTTTCAAGTCCGGCTTCACTGCGTCCCCAGCCTGCGAGCTATGCGGTCACCCATCGGAATCTCGTGCACACTTTCTCCTCCAATGCCCCGTCCTCGAACACCTCCGCCAACCCCTCCATGACGCTGCGAGGCACGCAGGTCATTTCGGGTCCCTTCATGTTGCAACCCTGCTCACTGAACCGAAGGTCTTCAAGGCTCTTGGCAAGTTCGTGGAGTCGACCGGTCGGTTTCAATCGCGATGAGTTATTTTTCTATTTATTCTATTTCTCTTTCTCTTCCTCTCTTTACGATACCATCTCTACCTAATAATACCCACGCATCTGGATACCCATACCCACCCAAACGGACATACCCTCAGATCTCCATTTACGATTCCTTCCCGACACTCAATTTACCCATATAGCATCAATCTTTTCTTTCGTTCCGGCTACGTATAAAAAACTTACTCATTCAAATCAAACACCAACCGAACGACTACATACAACCGACCGCTCAGCTATCATAGTTCACAGAACTGTATATAGCTACAAAACTGAAAATCAAAATCAAAATCAAAATCAAAGTGTAAAAGTATATTGTCATTTGTACATTTACGAACCTGGAGTACTTGAACAACAATGATATGAATATATCCTCAATCACTCAAATATATATTGGGACGGAATCCACTGTCCCCTCCAAAGGCGACAAGTTAATTGATTCTGTCTCAAATTTGCAACTCTTAGCAATTATTCTACAAAAACATGAATGCAACACCGGAGTGGAGTCTCACTCAATTGTCTAGAAGCAAATATCTCAGGGTTTCCAAACACCAATACTTCTAGCCTTTCTGCAAGACTAACACAAGGAGCAGGAACTGCAAAGGGAACTAAATTCAATGTTAGATGGCGAAACCAAGCACTGCCTATTATATAACAAGTATATGCATCCCAGCAACACAGACTTCTTCCTCACCATGAATCCCGCACTATGGGCATGGAATCCCCAAGGCTGTCACGATAATATTCCTTATGGTTGTCTGTCTCCTCACCCACTCTCTCCTCTACCACAAGGCCGTGCCAATGGTGCTTCCGCAAGGATGTTCAGCAGCGAGGACTAGTGCATTTCCTTCCAATAAACAGAGGTGCCGCGGCCCGCAGGTTGTTTTGTTTGCAAAGTGCTGGTGTCATCATTCATTTCACAACTGAGAGGGCATATGTGGCAGCAAATGAATTCACAGCCTGCGAGTTTAGATTCAGAGCATTTTACAGTGGATTGTAGAAAATTTGTAGGTGAACAGAGTAGAGGTTAGGATGAATATCTGTATGAGTTGGTCATATACAGCAGCATAACTCTGGAGTCTCGAACCCCCCTTGGACGCAGCATCTGGACCACCTTTATTGGCCTGATGGTCTAGTACAGTGCCCGGCATCACATCACGGTTCCGCTTTTGGTGGTAAACACGGCCAAACTTTGAAACCGTTACTACATTATGACCAAAGTATATGTGGATTCAAAAACAGTGGGAAACACACAGAGGAAGGGTAAGGAAGCTAGCATGTGCTTTGCTAAATCATCCGGTAAGATTTCGCTTTTTGAGCACAGGAAAAGTGAAACTAACCCTAATGATGCCATCATATTCCCTTATAGGTAACCCTAATCATCCGTGGGAATCCGGCGATCACCGATGCCGACCGCATCCACGTTGGGTTGAAATATAAACTCAGTTCAGGAGGGGTCGAAAGCATGCAGACATAAAGGGAAAGTAGTTTTATTACATCCCTTCAGGTTTGGAAGGTCACCCATGGTCAGGGAAGCAGCCTACGGGCACTTTTATTTTTCAAAATTTCCGAAAAAGTGAAACACCGTGGGAAAAAGTGAGATCTCGATGCCAATCGCATTCTTTTGACCTGTTTCGTGGCTCAGAAAATCAGAAAAAGTCCACAAAAATTTCCTTTGGGTCGAAAAACAGGTGTTGGAGAGGTGGTGGTGGGCACTGTAGTATAATTCCTTGTTAGGGTTTTCATAGCAGTGGTGTTGCTTTGCTTACGTAACCGAGGAGGTCCTGGGTTCCAACTGCCGTTACTCACATATTTTAGCAGTGGCCTGCAGCATTTATCCTATTCCATTCAATGGCCACATACCCACTAAAACCCTCTCCGTGATTGTTCAATAATCCGGCAGTGAGGCCTCATCCATGAGTAGCCCACTAATTACTTCACCTCCTCTTCCTCCTATGCTAAGCTGCACACAACTTGGACACAACTTGGACACAACACACACAAAGTACTACAAACAGGAACATCTGCCAGAATGAATACACAGATGGAAGTCAGTTATCTATGGCCCAGGCTCATACACGAGCTCTCTCCGAGCCGCGCGTGCAATCCTCTCTGTCATGTCTTCGTTGCAGAAGGTGACAGCGCGAGAACCACTAGACCACTGCCCATCAGACAATATACCAGAGAAAGACTGCCACGTACCGTGGTATTGCTGCAACTTGGAAGGGCCCACGACGGTCCCACACAGTAGTATTACGTTCCTCGTCTCTGGCATATACCCATCGGCCCCTACTGGTGTCGTAGGCACGTATGAGTTTGCCTTCACCAGATGTGATATGCTGGGGGAGTACATAGAAGTCCTTCGGTCCTTCATCGTAGATGTAGACCAAGTGCATCCCTGAGCTCTACTAACCATCAGACAAGATACCATGCATCATTGAAGCACATGGCGCTTACAGTTTGTGAATCATATTTGGCAAAATGCCATTCATTCATGAAATAGGGTTTCACTTTGACGAGTTGACCTCTCTACATTGAATCATCAGTGTTGTGGCTTGCGACCTTGGAGAAACAGGTGGACAAACCTTGAAAACCATGGCAAAGCTGGCAAGGGGACGGGACAAGGACTGCAACTTATATGGCCAGTGTGGGAAGGGTCAAGGTGCACTGTCAAAATTGGAAGGCAGTGAAGCCTTTTAAACTCCGCGTTTATGAAGCACCAGCTGACCTTTTTTCCCAGGTTCTCTATCAATAGCCTACTATCAGTATCACGGGATTACATTGACCATACCATTCGACTGTGGCATACATAGAGTGCTTGTGTGTAGGTACAGTGCCTGCGTTGTTCCTTACCAGGACAGAGTTCCTGTGTCAAGGACTTGGAGCCTTTACTTCACATGGTGTTTGGTTCAGTTCATGATAAGATTTACACGATGCATGTGAGAGGGGGGGGGTGGGGGGGGGGTGGTATAAGTTCGTGGGGAAGTTCCCACTGTAACTACTGTATATAAACTAATTCATTTAGTCACTCCTGAGTCATAAGTAAAGATTCCGTGGTATATGTGGCCACTGGCATAATATTCTCCACTATTCCTGATGACTCCTGCAACATCGCCAAGATACCCATACCCCGAACCTCATGACACCACCATCAACCGCGAGATTTGACAAGAGAAGGAGAAAGACAATCTGCTCGGTAGTTGAGCACATCCGAGCTGCTCGTAAGTCGCCTGCTCGTTTGCCGCCGTCGCATGTTCCTCCTTGCTTGCCAATTCCGAAAGTTCCAAAGGATGAACAAACAGCAATGGCCCGGGGGTATAGGTGAGCAATGCGATGACTTCGAGAATAGATTTGGCAACTGACACGGCGAGAGTTATTGCTTTTGGCATGCTGGCGAGAGCGAAGGGGAGGTTCGTTTGGTCTTGGTTTGGTCATAATTGGCGCTCGTGCCGATCTTCACCGCCACCCGTGTCTTTGTCTTCCCCCGCTCCATGGGGACGTTTGGTCCCGCTTTGCCCGAGAACATGAGATTCAGAGAAAAATTAATTCTCAATATGTTTGCTTTGAGTTCGAGTCCAAGTCGCCCACAGAGCTTGTATTATGAGCAGTGGTCGCAGTCTTAGGCTGGCAACCAGCTCGACTGGCAGAGGCGCAAAAATCATGTGGCCACCGTAGTCCAGCGGTGAAATCCCTGCTTTCCAAAATAAAACGGAAGCAGGTGCCGGGGGGGGATCAATCCTCCCGGTGGCACACAGGTCTCCCGACCTGGCCAGTGCTACCGCAGTACTGACCCGCTCGCGCAAGAGACACAATAGACATTGTTTCTATGCTATATGGTGTCTTTTCAGTGTCCGTGCAATACAGGGGCTCGATGGTGTGCCTACTCGTACTTATCTAGTTGATGTTTAAAACAATTGATTGTCAAAGTTTATTACTGCAGCCTCGAGCCTGGGCAAGGCGGCGAGCCAACTCCGGAATCCCATCTGCCCCCTGGCCGATGTCTTGTGAGCCACCGTGAGCCGCCACCTGGGCGGGGCACAGCATTCTGCCGCCGGACAGACAGAATGCAGTGAGTCAACGTGTGGCCGCTTCACGTTGGCTTCAGGTCACGGTGCCAGCGCATGAAGTGTCCGACGGTTCATTTGGTTGACGGCGAGCGGTGCCAAGTCTTCCATCAACGACCACTAGCATAAATATCCAAGAGTCATCGTGCTTCGGCTACCAACGCAACTCAGACCCAGGCACATTGAGGACTATTGATCGGCATGCCCCTCCACCGGCCTGATGGTCTAGTAGTATGATTCCTTGTTAGGGAAAGCCCCGGGCATGAATCCGGGTGCTTACGTAATCGAGGAGGTCCTGGGTTCAATTCCCAGTTAGGCCCCTTTTAAGCCTTTTCCGCATATTTTAAATGCCTACCATGTATTCTCTATGCCCCGCGGAGCGTCCCCAATTTTTTGGAGATTTTAGGAGCCCTAACGAGACCGGAGGATGCAGCGGAAGTTTGCCACACCGCCACACAGCCACATTTTGATCCGTCGTTGTGGCAAACTTCCGTTCCATCCTGCGAGGATTCCTAAACTCTCCAAAAAAATAGGCAAGCTTCCCGGGATATAGAGAATGTATGTGTACGACGTAGATGTAAAAGTTGAAGCTACAGTCCGATGTGGTTGAACAACTCTAATGCCAGCGGCGATATAATTCCAGGCCAGAGAAGGACACACTGGTATTCTAGTCGCAACAAGAGGGAATTAAATTATGGTTCAATAACAATATCCTTGACATCTGGTGAGGCCGCACACCAAACTTCCACCATCTCGTTCCAAACCTTCTTCTGCACCCGCAGTCCATCCTCGCTCGTACTCCAAGGCACCGTGCTGCAATGGCGTAAATAAACGGGCCCAGCGTTAGAAGAAATCCCTTACGGGCGCAGTTCACACGAGCTGATATACGAACCAGAGGGAGTGGGTTTCAACGCCGCGTAGACGAGGTTGAGCGAGCCCTTGGTCGTTGTCCATGCAATACGGCGAACGAGGAACCTGAGTGGGTAAGTTGCAGAGCCATACAACAACTGACTGCATTTACATTGCAAATGCGCCGAGGTTGTATTCAGCGCCAATGCTGGAAATGCAGAGTCCGGGATCGCCGACACTAGAAGAATTAGAATGTGTATGCATGGTCCCGAGGAAATCGTCTTACTTGACTATCACGCCCTCTGCTGCCTTCAACTCGGCCATGGCACGCGTATAAAGGATGACCAAGAGCTTGGAGGTTGGGTACCGATCCCGTTTGATGCTTTTACTCTCATTGTTGAGCGCCTTGAGAATTTCTGGAGCGTCCCTCTCGGGAAATTGGGCCAGATACTGAGCTGCAAATTTACATGACTTAGTCGTCGTCGCCGAGGATGAAGCAAAAACTTACATCCAGAGCCGGTGATCGTGAGGTGCGGCGCCATTGCAGGAACATCGGAAAGAGGAAGGTTGGCGGTCTTTTTCAGCAGAGGAAGTAACAAAACGCCAAGAAGTCCAGTCGCAAGCATGTTGACTTGGAATCTGTTGAGACGATAAGCATGGCCAACGAAAAGGAACTGAATATTACCCGCGTTTTCTCCCATCCGTCGACCGTAACGTCCCACGAAGGAACATTGATCCCGGCGTTCAGAATAGCGCTATCCAGGCGGTCCAATGTCGCGTTGGCCTTGTCCACGAACCGTTTTACGCTGCCAAAATCCCCCATATCGAGTTCCCATACTTCGAGCAGTCCGGCGAAACCAGTTTCTGAGACGATCTCGTCCCTCGCAGCGTGTCCCTTCTTCAGGTCACGGACAGCTAGAATAAGGCAGGCGGGCTTCATCCGGGCAAGGTGTATCGCAGTTGAGAGGCCGAGCCCAGTGTTGCTGCCAGTGATGAGGAATGTGCGGCCCGTCAAGTCGACATGTATGGGAGGGAGTTTCGAGAAGAACTGGTCGGGCAGAAAGCTGAAGAGCAGATAACCCAGCTGCGCTAATAGGCCTGGCATTATTGTAGCAAAGCAGGAGGGTTGTTGCATATCTTTTCTTGAAACAGTTGAATATTGATGGTTGGCAGGACCGACTGCAAGCCGACGGAAATCCCGGCGGTTGACCTAGTTCAGTCGGACCACAGTTTTTAAGAGTACAAATGCAAGTGATATATATATATAGAGTATATGTAGACTAGACGCAGCGCGGGCTAAAAGCAAACAACACACTATAGGACATGACGCGCGTGACAATGAACGAAACAGATGATCAGTAGGTATGTAGGTCGTGCAAAGAGGGAGAGGAAACAACAGGGGAAAGAGAGATGTAATAAAACAGAGCAGCAAGAACAGCCCAGAAACCGAAGACAGTCGTTAACCCAACCAAGGCTACCGCGGCACCGACGTCAGAGAGACGTTGTCAGACATGAACCGCTGCGGGCCCGCCGCAGTGCGGAGTGCGAGGACGCGGTCGTCCGAGACCATTAGGATCTCGTCCCGCCCGACGCCCTGCGGATATCGGTGCTGCTGGTGCGGGTATTGGTTCGGCTGCTGCATGTGTGGCGGTAGGCCGTAGCCAGTGTACGCCGACCCGCGGCTGTTAGCCGAGTTGGGGGGGCTGTAGGGGTCATACCCGCCCTGGTAGTTGTACCCACCGCCGCTGTTGTTCACAGACGGCGGTGTGTCCGCAAAGAGCAGCCGAAGATTTGAGCCCTGGATGACCTGCGACATGAGCCCCGTCTCGATATGTCGGATCTCAACAAAGGACGGCTCGAATGCTAGCACGTAGGGCTCGTGAAGTGCTGACTGACTGTCAGTGATGGGCTCTCAATGGAAGAAAAACGGCATACCGAAACCAGTCGGTGTCCCCTCCCAGAACACCATGAACTCTTTCCGAGACCGTCGTCCCGTTTTGTTCACATAGAATGCGAATTCTGTCGCAAGGTTAGCAAGCATTTACTGTGTAATCAAAGGGACTTGCCATCATAACAGAGCAAAAAGTCGTTATTTATGCGATAGATGGCCATTGGCCGCAGATTCTCTCGCCTCCGGACAAACTCGAGCGACTCGTCAGCAGGGTCGAGCAAACCCTGCGTTTCCAGCGACTCCAGATCAACGATCTCGAAGCCTTTTGAGCACCCGATGCACATCCGCGTCTTGAGGTAGTGTATTGACGTCGACTCAACCGGGATGTAGAATTCCTGCTCGGAAAAACAGGTCAGTATCAGTTCAATCCACCAAGAGCTGCGAACGCACCCTGAACGGCTTGAGCGTGTCGTTTCCGCCCTGCAGCAGCTTCTTGAACGTCGGTTTCGCCCGCCCACGCACCGTCTGCTCAATCGGTTCAAGCGCCTTGAAGGTACTTGATAGCTGCGTTGACTTGACGATACACACGAGCACGCGGCCGAGACAGAACCCGGCCTTGAAGAAGGATGTGTGCGTTGCTATCCGCTTCGCGCGCTTGAGGCCCGCCATAGGGTCCATCGGGTCGAGAGCGTCCAAAGGGAATGTCAAAACTTGCCGCTCTGCAGAGAATAGCATTAGTACAAACCAAGGACAAAAGTCCAAGGCACGCACCAGCCAGCACAATGAGGAGCTGATAGTCCTCGAGGACGTCGACCTGGCTGACATCAAGCAGGGCGAGCACCTTGACGGGGTCCTTGCTGATATCCCGCAGGTCCGAGATGTACACTCCATCGTCCGTCCCGTAGACAATCCGCCGACCGCCGCCTAAGACAATAAGCAACTGTCTAACCTCACAAAGCGACAGAAAACTCACTAAACGGCGCCGCACAATTGACCTTGTTCGCCCCAAAGAACCCCTCGCTCAGCGCAACCGTATCAAACACCATGCTCCGCTCCCGCATCGCCGTCTGCTGCTTCGTGATGTGCTCGACCCACTTGCGCTGCGCGAGAGCCGAGTTGGCCCAAAGCACGAGGCTGTACGTCTTACGCCCTAGATGCGCGAACGTGATCCAGTGCGGGCCCTTGGCGTCGGGACGGATGTTCACTGCGGGCGGGTGCGGCGCCGAACTCCGCGTCGCTGTGCTCCCAAAGGACGATTTTCGCACTAGCTGTCGTGTACGCTGCCCGCGGAGAGTATCCTTGGTGCCGTTTGCCTCCTCCGAGGCGCTGACGAGTAAGAGCTCGAGTGGTATGGGCTGCATCAGGATGTTAAAACAATGATGTGAGAACGCGACACAAGACGCACCCGTCGATACACACGGTACTGCTCGTGCGTCTTGGTCTTGAGCGGCTTCGCAAACAGCAGGGCGTGATCGAACAGATACACCTGCAGCTCTCCATCCCGCTTATTGAGTGCACCCTTGTATACCAGTTCGCGGCCCTCCTCCTCCAGTCGAAGGTCCTATCGTCCCATTAGTATCTCTCCCACAGCTCCAACAAAACAACACTCACGACCTCCTCGCCGGGCTTGAACGAAAGCTGCGAAGCCAGCTGCGCGAGATTGAACTTGTTCTCCGAGCGCCCCGACTCTTCGTTCACGCGACTCAGGAACGCGCGCACCTCCGCGACAACCTTCGGTAGTATCAGCTTGTCGGGGGAGCCGTCCGGCGTGTTCTTGAGCACTGCCTCGAGCAGGAGCGGATATCGCGCGAGCCTAGTCGTCGGCTTGGTTAAATACGCGTTCAGCTCAAGCTTGCGCGACTCGGGCAGGCGCTCCGTCGTCTTTGCACAACAGTCAGTGGGCATTTCCCGATTCGAGTCTCAGCACACGCACCTCGACAAACGCCGCAAACGCTGGATTCGCACTCTTCTCCTTCTCAAACTCGTACTTTCCGTACAACTGGTGCGCCCCATAGCTCACAAAGGGTTCAAAGTACCGCACCGCGTCCAGGAAGATGTCCCCGATCTTCTCCACGACGGGATACAGCCGTTGGCGTTTGTTCAGCGCGTCTCGCAGCTGGGTTGAAACCGCATCAGCAACCCACTGGTAGCAAAGGGAAACGACAGCACGCACCATGGTATTCACAGTAATGATATCATGTGCGTTCCAAAACACCTGAATCAAGAACTGCTCCCGCCGCTCCTGCGGTATGATATCCGCCGCCGAGAGCTTCGCGACCCACGCGTCCCGGAGATACTCCATGTCGCGCACAAAGTCGCGCTCGGTGTAGATCACCTCGTTGATCGCCTCCTGCCGTTTCTTCTCTGCGTCGGAAACGGAGGCCACGATCTCGGCGGGGACGGAGTGGATCCAGAGCGCACCAGCGTTGAGCTCGGGCTCGGCGGGGTCCAGGGCCTCGCGGGCCTCCTACGGGCCTGCTTAACAACATATACATGAGATGAACACGCGGACGCACCTTGGTCAACCCCGGCTGGGGCTTCATGTTCAGCCTCGACTGCTGCTCCAGTCGACGCGGGCACGCAATACTATAGCACAGCTGATCCCGACTGCATGTCGGGCTATAGCATTCCAGCAGCAGCGTAAACACACCCGACGGCAACGGCGCCTCCTCCTCCGCCTCGACCTCCCCCTTCTCGCCCACCCCATCCACCAACTCGGGTGTACCCTCCCCGACCCCACTCACATTCGCCGCAATCGTCGCCCCCGCCCCCGCCGCCAACTCCCCGCTCCCAAACGGGCTCGGCAGCTTCGTCCGAAACTGATACAGCTCCGCGACACTATCCCTCAACCGATGGTCGTACGTCACATCATGGAAAAACTTTTGAGAGTCGAGCGCGCGTCCGAGGAGCAGCGCCAAACTCCTGTCCGTCGTCTTTATAATATGCGCAATCCGATCCACCGCCTCGCGCCCGTCAAACGCATCGTGGTAGGTGAGCCCGTCCTTGACGCGGTCCGCGCGCGGCACCCGCTGCCGGAACACCTCTGCCACGCGCGACAGCAGTGCGGGGTACACGATCGGCGCCGCCGCGCGCTTGGGTTTGGGCGTCGTCGCCGCACTGCCTGACGCCGCGACGGTGGACGAAGACGAATTGGGGTGCGCGGGGGCGTTGGGGCCGAGGGGCGAGATGCCGGGGAGGGAGGGCGCGGTGGGCGACGTCGGCGTGCTGACGGCGCTCATGCTCATCGCGCGATCTTGCGCCGTGCGCTCGCGCCGCGGGCCCACCAGACGGGGGAGCGTACGCGCAGTCTCGGAGGAGCGGCGGGAGGCGGAGGCGATATGTGATGAGAGCCCGCTACTCGGCGAGGGCACGAATCCGTTGCCGTTGCCGTTGCCGACCACCTCGTGGTCAAACGACGTCGGCGACGTGGACGAGCTGGCGACGGACGAGCGGATCGAGGTCGGCGGCGTGTCGGACGCGCTGGAGAATCGGTGCCCCGGCTGTGGGTACCGCTGCGCAAACTGTGCGTACTGTGGTGGAGGTGGTGCGCCGTGCGGTTGTTGCGGTGCTACAGATACAGAGGCAGAGTGAGCACGTGAACGTGAGCGCGGCGCGTCCAGAGAGGACCGCAGATAGGCCAACATGGCGATGAGAGGAAGAATGAAAGGTGGAAGGAGAAAGTAAAAAGGTAAAAAGGCCGCCACCCACGCGCGTCACCACCGCATCCAACGCGCCGCAACCTCGTTCTTGGTTTATTCCATTCCACTCCATCGCTTGGATATGATATACCACGCGTATCGGACGATCGCACGTCATCATCCTCGGACCCAATAAAAAGACGCGACATGAACCGCACCCGAGCGCGAACAGTGACGTCGAATGGTAGACGCCCGTGCGTCGAGTTCGAGCTGGACGCCGTCGTCGCCAGATCCCCGCGATCGCGTAGATACGGAAATCGCGGCGTCTGGCTAGGCAGCGCGGGGAACGTGCGTTGAGCCACCCCAGGACACGGCCGCCGCCGCGGCAGCAATGCAAAAACAAAGAGAGGAAATCCAAGGGAGATCGGAAACAAGAGGAAGGAAAAAGAAACGTACATGGTGGATCTGCATATGAAAACAAAAGACAAAAACGGTCAGCGATCGATCGCAGGACAAATGTGGAGAAAAGAAAAAGAGCGGCGGACCCGAGGGTCTTGCTAGATCCCCTAAACCTCGTCCACGTCAAAGCCATTTGTGAAACTCGCATGCGAAGAAAACCCTCGCGGCCCAAGAGTACGAAGCGGCGGGCGAGACTCCACAGCCCCCCAAGGGGCGACGACACGAAACGGGACGGAATCGGAGGAGGTAGGGCAGAACTCACGTCGTGCTGCAAAGAAAGGTCGTCAGCGATGGTACACTTTCAGGATGAAGTCGGGAAGCCGTAAAGATGGAAAAGGAAAGACGAAGAACATAACAGGGTGGATAGCAACGAAGGTGACAGCCTCAATGCAATGCGGGAGAAGAAATAGCGCGATTCGATGCGGGGTGACGGAGAAGGTGAGAACCCCGCCTACATGCCGCTCTCGAGCTTCGGAGTCGGGTTTCCTGGCAAGGACTGCAGGCGACCGCAAAGTAGATGTACCGGCGCCGAATCCGCACCCTGCACATCCACAACGACTCGTCGGATTCCCGAGCTCGGTGCGGGGTGAATCACTGCAGTGACAGCGACGTAGTGACAGAGGGCGTGAATGGAAGGAACCCCTCGCCCGCGCGCACACCGGGCGTCCTAGGAGGGTAGGACGACCCAGGGAAACGAACATCACCCGCGGGAACGCGCGCCAGAAGGGAAGGCACGACAGCGAAAATACCGCATGCGCGCCTTCTTCGTCCTCCCGATAAAATAAAAGTCGCCCGAGCAGAAAATGAAAGCGGCAGGGGGCGAACAAGGCAAACGAGGAAAGAAAAACAAGGGGGATGAGGGGAGGAATGAGACTCACGTAGTGCTTCGGCTGTATCAGAAAATGAAGGAAACGGATGGTTAGTAAGGCATTCTTCGCAATCGCAAGTCAAGGGCAGAGAGGATGAAGGAAGGGGAGGAAGGAGGTAGGAGATGGATTTAAAAGCCGGGCACAGCGCCAATCTTCAGGTTTCTCCTAGCCCGAGCGGACCGACGGTGCTCGTAGTTCCCATTCCGAGCAGCGCAACAACTCCGTGCTGTCCGTTCCGAGCGCGCAGCGCCACCCGCGGCTGCCCACCCGCGATACGCGCGGATGCGAGATGGGGATGGATGGAGAGAAGGGGGAGGGAAGCGAGATGGTGACGTCTGTGGGGTCGGTGTCGCGGGGAGCGCGAGGGGTGGTGCGCGGTGCCAGCGCAGAGTAAAGCAGGGCGCGGCCCCGCCATCGCACATCCGACGCCATGAAATAGAAGAAAGGGATGAATAACACACCTCTCGCCCAGGGCAGCTCGCTCTCATCGTCCTCGTCTTCCCCGTCCCCATCCCCCTCCCCCTCCTCCGCGATAACCGCGCCATTCACATTCACACCGTTCCCATTCCCATTCACATTCCCGTTCAGCACGCTCTCCCCCCACGCCCCCTCCCCCTCAAAGTCAATGCCGAGCCGCCCACCCCCGCCCTCCTCGTCGATCGCCAAGCTCAGACTCGGCGGTGCGGGGGTCCCATTGGGGCCAGGCGTACGCTGGGCGGCGACCTGCGCCTGATACGCCTGCGCGGGGGTGCGCCCCGCCGCGTCCGCCGCGGGTGGATACGCTACGGGCGCCGCCAAGTGCTGTTGCGACCCATGCTGCTGCTGATGTTGCGGTGGGTAGTGCTGCTGCTGGCCATACGCCGAGTGCGCGTAGCCCGGGCCAGGGCCTGGGGGGTGCATGGAGCGTATACTGGGCGCGCGGAGCGAGGGGGCACCTCCTCCTGGTCCGAGTTGCTGGCCATAGTATCCTTGCGGCTGCTGCGGATAGCCTGCCTGGCGTGGTGGGTACGGGGCATACTGGGGTGCGTATTGCGGTTGCTGCGGCTGGTACTGTGCTTGCTGGGGGTGATATGGCTGAGCCTGATACTGATATGGCTGCTGCTGGGGTGGGAGACGGGCACCAGGCGGGGGGAGAGGGGAGTGGGTCTGTGGGCGTCGGCCGAATATGTCCTCGTAAGCAGCTGTGCGCTCTGGAGGCTGCTGGCGGGGGCCGAGTGGGCGGTCCATTGGTGTGGCAGCGAGCAGCAGCGACGGGAGCTTACGTTATTGGGACTCCGCCCATCCACAACTCTCATCAACTACGTCCATCTCCCCTTGCCATGTATCTTAACTCTGTAGAGATACCCTCCACACTAGACAACCTCACAAGGATGCGTAGAGGAAACTCTGGTCTGATTCGCGGGGTGCAGGAAATCTGCGTTGTTCTGAACTCCACCCAAGTCGCTGGCTCAAATTCTGGACGAGAAATACTACTTGAGCCTTGCGTTTACGAGATCCCCTCTACGTTGGTGAACGACCTCCCGAAAATGTGTAGTGAAAAACTCGTGGACCGTCTGATTTTCTACGGCCGCATCAATGGGGTAGTGGTATCCTGCGTTGTTCATACATACGACTCGCTGGCTGGAAATTTGGACAAGAAGCTATTCACTGCCTAATCCTTGCCTCTCCGAGGCGCACTCTACGTCAAACGAACCCCCAAAACCGCAGAGACCCAGTCTGATTTGCGGCTGGATCAGTGGGTAGACCCTGCATTTGTTTAGCTCTCTCGCAGATGACCTCCGAAGCCACGTTGGACTTCAAGAGGCGCTCGTAACCCTCTCTGACTCCAGACAGACTGCTCGCCACGGACTGCTCTCTGGATCGTCGGCGTAGAGATCACGCCCGACTCTCGCTCTGTCCCGGCTCATGTATGGCGGAGTACTTATTATGATCCCTAAAATCAAATACGACAAGTCCCGCACCCTTCCCCTTGTCGGTCCTTGCATCCCGACCGTCCAAACCCGGCTCAAAACATCGAAATTCACCCAGTCTCTCCTACAGGGCTGGGCGCTTATTCTTCCCTCTCATACTGAGACATATAGCATGGCATTAATGGGGTAGTGGTAACCTGGGTCGTTGCCAACGGATCGTAAGATTCGACCCGCCGGGGGTTCGATTCCCTCTTAATGCATTCTTTTGGTGCTCTGGAGCACGGTCCTTAACCTGGCACGGGTCCGCTCAAATTTTCACTTTTAATCTATCCTATGCATCTGTCAGGTTTCGCTTACTGATTGTTGGATAGCGGCTCAAGTCTTAAGGTTCTGCTGAAATGGTTACCCACATATCATATGTGCATATTAGCCCTAGCTTGGGAGGCATTCAACAGCTCTTGACTAGTATATCGGTTTAGTACAGCCGCTTGTCATACGTCATGTTGAATAATGTCTATGCGCGGCAGAGCTGGGTTCGACTCCCAGGTCGAGAGTTTTTTTGGATCCTTTGCCTCGCTCCCAAAGCTTTTCAAAGATATGGCCTTGATTCCCTTCAAGTTTCTCCTAGTGGTAAACGAAACTTCCGTTCATTCGTTTTCACCAATGTTTGAAGGGAGGGGGCAGGGGAGAGAGCTTTTGCCATGATACAACTGAATCGTTGTGGGCAAGTTGTGGCATCATGTTGTGAGGTCAGTGATCTGGCTATGCCTGTCTCACCGCCTCAGCTGCCCCTCCAACCAATCCGGATGCATGCAGATACAAGGACAAGTCAAAAACCCTCGAAATCTCGGAGACTTCTGAATCCGGAAATTGGATTGCCTAATGCGGACACCAACACATCTAGAAAAGCACAGCTTGAGCGCAGACGACTCACTCGCCTGACAACAATGTCCAGGATGCCAAAAACAGAGTGAACAGCACCCCTGAAGTTACGGAGCGAACCCGACTCTCATACAGAACACAGCCCAGTCACAGATTCCCTCAAGCAACCAACGGAGCTAACCACGGGCACCAGCTCCACGACTGCCAACAGTAACACCTCACATGACAAAAGCTTCAAACTTTCACCGACTCACCAACCCCACCAACATCTGATTTTTTCACACCGGAAATCCCTCCAGCCACCGAGATGACGGACATGGGACCTGTTGCAAGCGAGGCTGTGTGTGACCATGCGGTAGGGAGTGCGATGGGCAAAAACATGCTCCTCGGAACTTCAAAGAAACTATTCAAAACCCCTCAAACTTACCTGGGCAATTTAAACCCTCCTCGAACCTTCGAAGGCATGACACTCACTCGTCATTTACTCGCACAATGTGTCAGGCGTACCATGCGGAACACTTCTTGTGGCTGAACCGGAAAAGGTATACAAGGAGGAACCAGAGAACAGGTAGTCAGTCAATTACCGGGCTGAGTCTTAGGCTTGCCCAGAGGGCTGTTGTATTTGACTTGAAGAAGGGTTGCTAAATATTTCAACAAGTTTTGCTGGAAAAATGAACAACTAGTTCTCAAATTGATGTGAAGCAACTACTCCGATCAATTCCTGTGGCGGACTCTCAAGGCGGATAGATTTTGGAACTAGTCAATCAAATTCTAACCAAAATTCCCACAAATATTTGGGAGGCATCTTGGACAGTGTTTCCACAGAACGGTTGTGCTGGATTTTCAACTTAGGTCTCAGATAGGAAGCATACAGTGAAGACTTCAAACTCCTCCCAATGTAAGGAACCTTCAAATATACGTATGCATTCTCAAATTTCCGTCTCGTTTACCTTTGAATAGTCTCGAATCGTGCTTGAATTTGTATTTGTTACATTCGGTAGATATGAGTAGCTGGTAGATACACGAATAATCAATCTACTCTTTCACCACAACTATCGCCCATTGGCCTTTCCACGCCCCGTCGATATACTCCGGGAGTCTGATAGAGGCACGAGCGCTCTAGTAAACACTCACGAAACAAGGTGCAACATCTATACGCCCTTCACGACTTACAACAGGAAGACTCCAGTCTATCTCCCCTCATCTCGACTATTCGGAGAGGTCGAGTTTCAGTCGCATAGAGTGCTCGGCTATCCGGCCTCTGACTGGAATTCCTTAGAGATAGACCGTTAATATAAAAGGTCTTCACCACATTATTACGAATTGCGAACCCCCTGGATAACGCGTACGACGCTCCTACAGTAGGGATTCCGGATCCTTACACCCAAAAGGGCAATTTCACGTGACCCAACCGTATTGTATGGCCGCTACCTTTGGATCAATGATATTCTTGTGCACACAGTTACAACACATCCCGAACTTTTTGTATATGGTCTATTAGTAGCTGTGTGGTCGGTATTGAATGATCTTATTTTTATATGGCTCGAACTGTTGAACACCGCCTGTATATGGATCTGCCACATCTGCTTCTTCGGAATGTGTTTCAAGCCCAGCATTCTGATAACCAAGCCTGTGATGCCGGAAACTGAAAGATGTGAACCAGTTTGTACTGCTGTTCATCCCGTTGTTCAACAGATATGATGGAAATGAAAGATATCAAGATACTGCCGCAGCAACCTTATAAGAGACCCATGCACAATGTGATTGCATCCCTTTCCAAGATGCCCCACCCACGTACCACTGCTGCAACCCGTGTGAACAACATCACAGCATATTTGACACCTGCTTTGACCTTACTGGATGAGCTCAATGATGCTTTTGGCCTACCATATGTACAGCCAATTATCAAGACCACCCAGGCTCTTATCACAGGAGTGCAGGTATGGCTTGCAACACAAATATATATAGTGCGACTGATGAGGAAGTATAGAATGTCAAGCACAACAAAGATGAATGCTTTCAACTACTCGTCATCCACAAAAGTAACCGGAAATTGATCTCTTGTGCTGTATTACGTAAAGGTAGCCCAACAGCCTTCCACCAGAATAAATTTCTACATATTCTCCCCGATTCCGTCACTTGTTTCATGGGAATCGGTTTGGTATTCATCTCAAGGACTGTTGAAATTTCAGTCATGCATCGTGAAACTGCACTAGTTTTTCGATTGTTGCAAAGAAACCTTTAAAGAAAGTTGTAGGAATGCAGTAAAAATTTAGGAAAGCCCTCAGATATGCCTTCCAGCATTCTGTGTCTATCCTCTAAGGTTTTCAGACCACTAAAAGATGTTGTGGGCCTCAAAATCTGGGCAACAACCCAAAAGGTCTGCAAAAGGAAATTTCTGATTTCCTGAGGGATTCTACGACGTGAGGGTCCTAAAAAAAATTAGTGATCACTATGGGGTATTCCCCATGGCAGCACCAACCAGATTACACGCAGAAATTAAGCCGCAGGTAGCGGAATTCCTGATTTGGCAGAGCTGTTGAACCTGCCAATGTCTTCTTCGTCACAAATCACCGATAATGCAGCAATTTTAGGCTCTCCTTAGGAGCTCCTTGCATCTGGGGCATGTGTTGGAACCCGCCCGCAGTACCCAGGTCAACACTGGCCATGTTGTTGCAGCCATGGTCATTTCTAGGGCATATTTTTGAGCATAGTTGTCAAAATTGTTTCACATCAAATTCTTTCAATTTTGGCACACACACTAGGTGTTTTTGATGTGTATAAATGGCGGACAGGTGTGAAAGGATCCTATTCAGTATACTGATGTGCTTGGAACCAGAAAAAGCTCCAAAAGGAGGCTAAAATAAGCGGATTTCCGGTTACTTCTGTGAATGATGAGTAGTTGGAAACATTCACCAAGTTCTCTATCCAATCATTCAGCTGCATTTGAAGTCTGAGGCTCTTGACACTGGACCTCTGGCAGTTTTTGAGGCCATTGGGGATTTCACAATGTATGTAAACACTCTTGTCTGGAAGTCTCTGGACACTGAATTTACCTAGTACCCTGCACAAGATATACATGTTCATTGAGATACAGCAGGATGGGAACAAAATCAAACAGTTCTTCCGCCAGGCTGAGGCCAACAAATTGCTCAAAGATTGCCAGGCTGGATTGGACCAGGCCCTTGAGGTGTTCAAGGTAAGGTTTGGCTTCAAGCCCCTTGATTGCGGATCTGAGCAGTTCAACAGGGCCAGACAGGAATCACAGTCTTGAGTGATGTTATGCAAGTCCAGACCTAAGCGGACAATATGCACAAGGAACTGTTTGAGCTCATCTCGGCACTGTCTGACAGTGATGGCACAATGTCAGACCGGTCCTCGTTGGTAGGAGGGTTTGCAACTTGTGTGGACAGCAGAATATAATTCAAACCTAGGTGCTTTATGGAATGTCCAATAGCTCTCAAAAGAGGTAAGCCAAGCCTGCTGTGAATATTTGTACATGATTCTGAATCCACATGAGCTCAACCTCATTTTCATTGCTTCCTTCAAAGCCAAAGATATTCTATGGTCGCGAACCAGAGTTGCAGCAAATTCTCAAGGTTCTAGCCCAGGAAGCACCAAGGATAGCTATCCTTGGACCTGGGGGTATGGGGAAGACATCACTTGCTAGAGCGGCCCTCCATCACAGTGACACCTGCAGCAAGTTTCAGGTCAGATCTTTTGTTAGTGCAGAGGCAGCGACAACAGCCGTTGAGCTAGCTGCACTAATTGGTCTACACCTGAATTTGGAGCCAGGGCTGAACCTAATCAAGCCTGTTGTTCGGTATTTTGCTCGACAACCAGTCCCTGCCTCTTGGTGCTGGACAATCTGGAGACACCATGGGAGCCTTTGGAGTCCCGTAATGCAGTGGAAGAGTTTATCTCACTTCTTGCTGATGTGAACCATCTTGCCCTGATTGTGGGTTTTCTCTTGTCATGTGGAACAGTGTATTGACCACCAGATAGATCACCATGCGAGGTGCTCAGAGACCAGGCAAGGTCCAATGGACTCATCCGTTTTTGAAACCCTTGGAACCCTTGCCAGACGCTGCTGCTCTGCAGATGTTTGAGGAGATCACAGATGATTCTCATCTCAGTGATGAGAAAATCCAGCTTTTGCAGTACACCGAGAACATGCCTTTGGCACTGGATCTCATGGCCCATCTCGTGGAGTGTGAGGGCCTTTCAAATGTGCTTGCCCGCTGGGAAACAGAGAAAACAAGTCTCTTGTCCAGTGGGCACGACAGAAGATCAAATATGGATGCCTCCATTGCAATCTCTCTTTCCAGCCCTCGCCTTACCTGCGGAGCTCGGGAGTTGCTTAGCCTTCTCTCCATTC